CTTGCACAATTTTATCAGGTTGGGCCCGATGAATCATTCATCTTCAGCAAGCAACAGCAAGAGATTGCAGGGCAGGCAGGGTCTGTGTTTCAGTAACCAAAAACGGCCAAAAAAATAAAAAAACCTAACAGAAAAACACCCCACCAAGAGAGAGGGAATAGGGGCAGGGAAAAAGAGACAGTGGGCCAACAGCACTCGTGGACAGCTTTCTGATGTCTGGTCTCAGACAACTAGCAGCACATTCATTTGTAAGACTGCCAGACCTCCCAGGAAACCTAAAAGGCTGCTGTTATTTATAAAGCTATTCTGCGTGTAAGACTAGCTCATTATATTTATAGGCACCTGTCCCATTCACCCACTTCAGGGCCCTTGTTCCCATAAATCTACGAGGCCCACGGGATCTGCCTTCAAACACCAAGATACCTCTCCTTTCTGAGCAGGGCCATTTGGAAGTGTCTGTCACCACGGCAGGGCTGAGCAGCATGTACACGTAAATATATACCTGAAAGCCCCACATTTCTGTCAATGCACAGGAAGCCAGACTAGTGAATTTGTCTTCCACGTGGAAAGCACCAGATTTTGCATTTCATTTGTAAAAAGCTCTCAGTGATCTTAGCCACAAAGGGTTGATTTAAAGGTGGTTTAAAACTGTCAGCTGGCTTCAGGAGAGAAGATATACAAGTCAGTCCAATCGATTCTGGCAGCCTGGACTCCCAGCCCCCCTTAAGAAGGAAAAACAAAATAAAATCAACCCTCCTAAGTTTTATGCCTGAACTTCAAACAATCTGTGCATAAATCCAAATCAGAGCTCGGCTGGTCAGACATGAAGAGCTCTGCAAACACAGCCCTTCAGCGAAGCTGGGGATGTGGGCAAGCAAAGGCAGCTCCCTACAAATCGCACTGAGGACAGGAAAATCAAGGGATTTTGCCTTTCCAGTTTGTGGGTGTTCACACACAAACACAAGCAAGCTTTTCTATTTTGAAGGTGAAAGACTTATTTCTCAACAAAAAAAGTAAAAATGGTAAATACAGATCTTGCCTCCTACAGATAAAACATGCAAGATTTCACTCTTGAGACCAGCTGGGCTCACTCCTGTCAACCAGAAGCCTTCCCCAAATGTAGATATAGGAATTGAAGCAAACTGCTGCTTCCAGATGTCCATATGTTAGCAAACTTTCAAGCAGAACCAAGCTCTACCAGTCCCAATCCCAGATTTCTTAGGTGCTTCAATTTGTGCAGTGATTTTGGGTGCTGGTTACCAATTGCTAAATCAGATCTAAACTCTCATGCAGTTGTCCAGGCCTGGCTCCCTCCAGCAGCCACACAATCATGGTGAGAAGCATTTTGGCTCACTGCAAGTTGCAATAACAGGCAGTTCTTGAGAGGAGTCTCAGAGAGCCCCCTCAGAGGCAGAAGCTTTCATAATCCAAGGGCAGATACCATTTTTCCTGCTTAATCGCTTGGAAGGATTCCCTCTCTCAGTCATGAATTAAAAGTCATCCAGAGAAAAATATTTGCCATTTTGCAATGTATTTCAGGGACTGATTATTTAACTATTTAATGTGCCATAAATTCAAACCTTTAAAAAAAAAAAAAAAACAAAGGAAAAAGAAAGGGGCTCCCACAGCTCAGAGCATACCCATCCCCACATGTCTATCCAAGAAGAGCCAACAGTCCAAAAGTGAGAGGGAAAGAGGCTGAAGTTCTGCGGGGCTGGATCTGGAGGTAGGAGCTTCCACATCTTAGCATGAGTGTCTGATCCTGGGCTGCACTACAGTGAGCAGGTATCTCTGTATACAAGAGGTAGCCACAAAAATTTTAACCAAAATTTACATTCCTCTATTAAAAGTCATCATCTACATAATGCAGCATTTACTAACAAATAATCATCTCAAAAGATTCCCAACCAGTTCTGCTAGGAACCTAAGCAATGCAGCTTTGGGTTCAGGGTGTGAGAGACATGAAGCAAAGCTGACTCAAGCTGCTTCCAGTGGCTAAGCTGAGTGAAATGCAATAAATACAGAGCAAACCCGATTTTTCCTTTGCTGTTGCACACAGTATTTGCAAGCAATTACACTGGCAGTGGCAGCTTAACATGCAGGAGAGTAATCAAGATACTTTGTGCATTATTTACACACCTAGTTACAAAAGTTCAGGCTTATAAACTGTAAAGGAAGCTGGATTTTTAGAATAATTTTGTGCCTTAAGACATCCATTGCAGGCACAAATGGGGAACAGATAAATACATTTAGGCTTTTTCTCTATGGTCTTCCATCCCACACAGTCATTTGTGCTTGGCTAAGATTAACAGCAGCTCACATATCCCTCCTGTAGGATGCATCATAGATTTTACTTGATCACTTATGCCTTATAATCCATAACCACAGATGATGAATTATGGCATGTTCTTTAGAAACCGTCCAGTCTCCCTGTAAAGCAGTGATTAATTCATGTTCTCTGGTAGGTTACGGCCACAATCAGTTGACCTCAGAGGAATGAAATGCCACCATGTGTCCTAGGAGAATGGAAATGCAACAGCCCCTCTGGGAAAGGGTGAAGCAAAACATCCATGCAGAGGTTATTTTGTTAACCTAACCCGACCGTCTCTCAGGTGCCTTAGAGGATAGCTCGGGGCTTCTCTAGCAAAAGACAGGGTCATGCCATAGGGCTCAGCTGACTGGCAACAAGATGGGCACTGTGCACTCACATTTAGTTGAGGTAAATAGTGGCCTACAGCCACCATTACCTGAAGGCTGGTCAGTGACCTGACAGCCATGGTTCAGCTCCTAGAGTCTTCTAGGAGCCATACCTTCCCCACCTCAGCAGCAAATCATGCCTGGAAGCTAAGAAGCCCCCCTGTATGAACATACATGATCCACATTGACGCAATGTGTGGATAGCTTCACTGAGTCTATACTCAGGGGACACAGGACCCTTTAGATGCCTGACTTCTGGATATTCCTCTGACCTCCTACTCACATGTTTTTAGGGAGTTGGAAACCAGGCTACAGCAAACACCAGACATTTGGTGTCTCTCTAGGTCACCACCCCATCTCCAGATCCTCGCTGGTGCCCCCAGAGGTCAACTCCTTATCTTTAAAGCAAGTACAGATTTTCCAAGAATCCTCTCTCAAGGGGAAACCTTCTTCTCTCCTCCTACCCCCATCCTTGAAGCAGCAATGAACAGCCTCCGGAGTCTGCTAATACGGATGTATCAGGGCTCGCTTTTCAGGAGGACTTTTAACATCAACACCACGACACCTTATTTTTCAGTTCTGAAGTGCTACAAGAAGAGACATCTCAAAAAAACCAAAAAACAAACAAGTGCTACAAGAAGAGACATCTCAAAAAAAAACAAAAAACAAACAAGGGCTAGAGAGTTTACTCCCTAACTTCTGACCAACACTAAGCTCTGATGAATGTACCACTAAAACACCAGAAATGAACACTTCAATTTCTGGAGTGTGGGGAAGAGAGAGGGAACAGACAGACCTTGAAGGAGCAGGGAACTCAGGATACCACCTTCTTTCTCTCCCTGGGTATCTATCCGTAAGTTCCCCTGTCAGGGTCCCAGCAACAGAGCTGAGCAATGGCTGACAGAGACAGTAGCTCTACAAGCCATTTTGGGAATGTCCCACAGAGTCTGAAAGCAGCATTTACAATGCTGTTTTGCAACTGGGAGAAGAATCACAGTATGATCCAGTAATCAAGGAAAGCAGTCAGATTCATAGAATATTTTTTAACCCATAATAAATAACAGTTTCCTAAACTTTATTGCGGTCACAAGTCAGAACAAAATTTGATAAAAAAACCCAATTATTGTGCACAGAAGATTTTGAAAAATGTCACTAAATCCTCAGGGGGAAAACAATGAGTGCCTTTTTAATGAAAACCAAGCTTATGGATTGCTGGTTTCTGAAAGCAGCCTGGTGAATGTTTTTGTTTTCCAATAAGCAAAATAAATACTGGAACAGATCCATGGTCCTTTCCCTTCCACTGCTTCAAACCTCCTCATTTTTCAAAGTGGAATAAAGGATACTTGTCCTCTGATTTTAAAACCAGTAACCGGTGCCCCAATGTACTGTGAGCCAGAGGCAGGGAGGGCAGTGCAGGAAGGGCAGGAGACCCTGATGTACACTGGGGATTGCAATGAACGGACAGCAAGAAGCAGAACCTGCTCCTGACAAACTAGATTGGGAAAGTGCCTGGAGATGGAGCTTATCATGCCACAACTTGAACCTCCCCAAGCAATTCACACACCCATGTCTCTACATGAAAGCAAGGAGATGGGAAGGAAGCACAGTTAGGGTTTGGCGCTGCTCAAGCCCCATGCAATTACAGGCAAGAGTAAACATCTTATTCAAGGATGAGCAATCGTCCCTCAAGGGAAAACCCTGGGGCTTCCAGCCCTCCCAAGAAGGTCACAAATGGGTACAGGAAACAAGAGGAGACTTGCACAAAGGGAAGGAGCTAAACCTCACTGCCCATGGGTGAGGAACTGAGCAGACAGGTCCATGTGCTCCAGCACCGGGCAGATTTCTGAACAAACTCATGGGAAGCTGTGGCATCACCGAACCTTTTGTTTCTGAAGCTCCAAGGGCATTATGCAGCCTTTCTTCCCAATACAGCAACTGTAATAAAATCTCCAGCTTAGCAGGAGCACCTAATTTAGTGTCTTTCCTTCACGGCAGGAAGAGGGGGTATTGTGTGAAGTTGGCAGCAGAGCTGTTCCTTACAGAGGCAGGGGATCCTGAAATTGTACCCAAACTCTGGTCAAACCTCACTTCACACACCTACATGCCCATCACGCAAGCTTCAACATCTCCAAATCAAACCATGGCTTGAAAGAATAATCTTTAAATCCATTTTTTACTTTCAGTGCCATCTGCTTAGTACAGCCAAGTTTACAGACTTTCCATTTCCCACTCATTAAGGCCCAACAAGGCATGGGTTGTACAGTGTCTGACCCAAGAAATTCACACTCTAAAGACTTACTTACTGGTGGCTATTGAGAGCACTTCTGCAGAGCTGTGGTGGCTCCCAGGAGACAAGCATATGCACTTCTCTGTAGTTACATCCCTGCCACTGTCCCACATGACTGGGCGACTGTCGGCAAGCTCAGAAGTCTTTCTTCTGTGAAGGAAGAGGGATGAAGTTGGCAGCAGAACTGCTCCTCACAGATGCAGGGAATCCTGAAAATATACCCAAATTCCGGTCAATCCTCCCTTAACACACCTACATGCCCATCACACAAGCTTCAACAGACAGTTCAAAAACTGAGACAGGTAACATATGTCAGCACACATCATCTAGGTATGAAGGGCCTGAGGAAAAGTCCATTGAATTCCTTCAGCAGGCTCAGGAGGGGACAACTGACAGCTCATTTGTTGCCATAAGTACTTGTTTCTCAGGTGCCAGGGCTGGGCCAGTCGATGCTAGCTAATTAATGTCCCTGAAAAAAACGAAACCATCTGGCTATACAGTAATTACTCTTCCTGCCTGGGCTCACAAGCCCACATGGCAGATCGTGGAGAGGCCAAATCAAACAAGCAAGTATGGTAATGACGTACTCTTTGCTGCTGTCACACAGCCCAAGTAACTGCTCAGGAAGTCCAGGCAGCCACCCAGCCTGCAGACACTTCCTTCCTTTGCTTAGTGTCCTGGCGCATGGAGAGATCCTCCCTCACCCAAACACACAGCTGGCAGCAAGGGGTCTCACAGCCATGGTGTGAGCCAGACCAGGGTCTCTTTGGCAAGGAGGTCAGAGCAGGTCCTTTCCAGCTCACCCCTCTGCCTGCTGAGGGACAGCAAGCTCATGCAGCTCTGGTCAAAGTGAGCAGTGCTGGCGGGCTGATCGAGGTGAACAGGGCCAGCCCAGCTGCCTCCCAGCCCTCCTACTCGTGCTGATCCTTGTCTGTGAACGCTGACTTCTCTTCCTCTGCTGGTTTCCTGGCCTCTTGGGAGGAGGAAGAGGGAGTTTCCTGCTCTGCAGAGTCACAATTTGACGGAAGCATCCACAGCCTTCACAGCCCTAGGATGGCTGTCACGAGTCCTTGGCTCTACCCGTGCATGGCCATACCTTCAAGCCAAGGTACAGACCTAGGATCAGGCTCACAAAAAAAAAATGACAGATAGTTACTAGTAATTACTCCAGCTGCTCCCTGCTCTCCCACCACTGCTATGGTCAGAGGCAGGAAAAATTGTGGAGGAAACAAGCCTTTTCTGGAAATGCCCCAGCTAAATTGAATCAGCAACAAGTTTTGGAGGATGTTCAATCTGGCAGCCACTGAGGGGCCTTCAGAAATGCCTTTGCATCCCTTATGTTGTTGGATATTATTCACACATACAAAAGCTTTATGTATTGGTCATATAAACAATGTTTCAGGGCAGTAATGAGACAATCAAACCAAATTAATAACATGGCATTCAGTGTAAGCTTTTCCCTCGCTAACCAAAGCACAGCCAGACTTACTCTTCATTGATTTTTTTTCATTACTAATGATGATAAAAACAAAATAAGGGTACTAAGAAATCAACACATGTAAACTACAAAAAATTCCCTGAAGAAACCACAAACCATACTCCACAAAAATCTGGCAGGATAAATAGAGCTGTAATTCAAAGGCCACACGCTTTCCCCAGCAGCATCACATGGGCAGCCCATGCCAGCTGCCTGGACAACCTCATCATGAATGGCTTGCAAAGGTCTCCCCCCAAAAATGGGTCTTTGTGCAGGGCTCATGTCACAGTCTGACTGGGAAAGGAGAGGTGAGGACAAGCAGAGAGAGGAGAAGAATCTGCCACCAGCTCCCTCCCATGCTTCCTCCTCTTTGGAGATCCTGGACCTTTCCCTTTGGTTTTCACCAAAGGGCAGAGTTAAACTCAGTTCAAGGTAGGTAGAAAAAGGCAGAGCTCTACTTCAAACATGCCTCGGTTGCTTGGTGCAGTACAACTGCAAGAACCGGGATGAAGGAGGAAATAAAAAAAGACTGTGGTTAATTATGAGTATGTTAACATGGTAAGAAATAAGGCAGCGAGGATGGCAGAGATAATTACTCTATGAGTTGCATTTCCCTTTTGGACAGGAGATAATGAGATATCCTTTGCTATGCAGAAGAGTCTCAGAGCAGAGCAAATGCAAGTCTGGCATAGAGCAAGCAAGTTGGAGCTGCAGAAACCCACTACCCCCTTACCAGTGTTGGCCAACAGGGCCAAGCTTTCTTACCACTGGGAGGACAGAAAACAAAATTAACTGATTCCTGAAAAAGAAAGTATTCCCTCCTCCTTGGGCACTACCCAGCCACTCTTTAGGATCCCTAATGTGCACAGCTGCCCCAGGTTTCCACAGATGTCACAGATGTGTCCTGCTCAGCAGGGCCCGTGGCCCAGGGAGTGATGCAGAGGGGACAAGTGCATTCTGATGCACTTCTTGAAGCCTGGGCAGGCAGAAATGAGCCGCTTGTGCTGGGAGCCCCAGCAGGCTCCGGGGAAATGCACAGAATTGCACAAAGCTGTTTGGAAAGAGCCATGCAAAGCAGCCTTTGGCTTCAGTAAGGCAGGGACTGCTCCATACCTGTCCCCTCTGAGACACGGCTGCTTTTCAGTACGGTGAGCCCCCAGGAGTGCTTAGAGTGCTGCAGCCCTGCAAGACCTGCAGAGTATTTGGCTGCCCATGGAAAAGGCCCAGTGTGGGTACATTAAAATAAATGCCCAAAACTATGTGAGCAAAACCATCATCAGGTACACAGTTACTCTAGCCAGTGAAGATGAAGAAATCTTCTTTCACAAAGAGCCACAGACAGAAAGCATTACTATTTTGTTGCCTTGCAGGTCCCAGTCAGTCCTGGAGCTGACAGGGCAGTGGGATGGAGTTTCCTCTTGTTTATTTACATCCTGAGTCCATCCCAGTACCTCTTCCCCAAGAGCTCCTTTGCTGATGAAGCAAAGTTTCAGCTATCGAGACTATTTTTAGCACCAATTGCTAGGAGAAGCTGAACCTTTTAACAAAGACTCCTCAACACTGTAACGAGCACATCATTGCTAAGGGGAAAGAAAGAAAAAAGCTGGGGGTGGGCTTGTATCTAGGTCAGCATCAATCTCTCTCTGTCACCTATAGTCATGTTTTATGGGAAGCATGTGGATAATAAATGGCGATTATGGAAAGCGGAGGGGAAGAGGCAATCCTGAGAAATTTATAGTTAGGAGAGAAATCACATTAATAGGAGATAATACAGAGCTGCAAAACTGTTATAAAAAAGGCATTAGAAGAGCTCTGTAATTGGGGTTATTAGACACAACTACACCAGGCTTTTTTTTCCTTTTTGGGTGCATGTCACTGTGATGGATGTCACTTTCGATAGTGATAATAACAGTAAAATATCCGTGTTAAAGCTGAGTACATTAACTTTTATATTGGTGTAATTTACTGCGTTATGAGTTCCCATCATTCAGGAGCGAAAGACAAAATGCTCTTCCTTACGATGTCGATAACCATGCATACACTTTACAGGAAGAAGTGTTTCTTTAAATATCTATTCTGTGTCAAATAATTCTTTTAACTTTCCATTACTCTTTTCAGGAGAGAAAAGGAGCAGAAGAAAGGGGTAAGCTATTCATATTGCTAACATACATCATGAGCTGGATTTGCCATTGCTCTGTATCTGGTGAAGTCATTCCCAGCTGCTTTTCTGGCCACATATACAAGAGATTAGTTTGCTACACGGGAAGGGGCAGAATGGAATGGACAGTAGCTACTATTTTTTAAAAACTACACATGCATCAATATGATATTGTAGGTAAAATTAGACCTCAAAAAGAAAAAAAAAAAAGAAAAAAGAAGGATTCTTCGGTAGAGAATCTGCTTGCAGCACTGTGCTCATTTACAGTGTGGTTCAATAACGGGAAGGTGGAGTCCCTATTCCTCAAAGTGGAAATGATGTTGTACCTGCTACAGCATTACAGTCACATGCACTTTAGGTGCTCAGAGTTATTAGAACAAGTTAAGCCTTAACTTCTTTCTATCCGTTCTCCACTGCAGAAGCTAAATAACTGCTAAAGGAACAACAAGCTTGGTCATTCCCAGGCTGTAAGTAGAAATCACAGTGTCGTGAACAACACAAGCATTGGGTCAGGCTTAGGCTCCACGAGGAAGCAGGGAAGAAGCTGGACGATGGCAGCACCTTTGGCTCCAGCAATAGGAGAGACATGGTCTGCTCTTACGCTGCCTCCCCAGGCACATCCATGCCTTTGGGCAAGTCACTCCTTTGACTACTCTTTCCGAAAAGAGAATGCCCCTAGCTAAGCACTGTAATTGTAGAGGGGCAAGCACAATGAGGCCTTGAGGGACTGCAGCAAGAATCCTTTCTGATTCAAGATAAGCTAGTTTCAGATGGTGCAGAGCTCTAAAGCAGACGAACTACCCATATCAAAGGCAAAAGCACTCTTAGAGAGCTACTTCAAAACTGCGTAGAAGTGAACTTGATACCACTGCAATTTCAAAAACGGAGTGGGCATCCAGTGGCTGAGCTACACCAAGTTTTAATACCATCAAAATCACAAAAGAAGGAAATTTTCCTTCTTCCTGCAATACATGCAACACATATATGCAATACAACACAAGCATTGCTGTTTAGGTGGGCTCCTGCTTTCACACAATCACTCCCAGTCTCTCTTAGCCAAGAGCCCATGTCCGTAACGGCAATGAGACCTAACATCTCCCTCCAGTCACTGTACTCCTCAGGGCCAAGGGGTCTGTAGGGCACTGAACACGAAGATAGTTCTGCTCACATTGTTTTGTTTGTGAAGTCAATCAGTCTGCTTGCCTCCAAAAGGCAGACCTTCCTACCAGCTCTCACAGCGCGAACATAAAAAACCCCAAACAGGGTTGTGCACAGCACAAGGAACACGCACTGAGAAATGCAATCAGCTCCCCCAAGCTGCACTTTCAAATTGCAAATTACAGAATAGCTTCAACGTTAAGAAAGGATTAAATGACTCTGGTTTGTTTCCAAAACAAAACGCTGCAGTGTGGCATTACTGAACGCCATCCCATCCAAATGGAATTCGACACTTCATTCAAGCCCAAACATTTTTCTTCCATGTGTTCAGCTGATTAATTGAGGATTCAACTGTTTATGTCCTCCTAGGCACTGGTTTGGGGCTGTTGATTGTTTTTTCTCTTTTAACAGTAACTGCATTTGATCAAAGTGACTCTTGCCTACACACATGAAGGCTTTAGCTGGTACCTCAGAAGTGAGACAAGGAAAACAGGAGGATTATCTCCTTCCTTCACCTCTGAGCTAGTTGAGCTCACACCTACTGAATACCCTGATTTTTCTTTCCTTGTTCCTCACTTTGTGAGCCAGACTCTGCTCTCCACACCTCTGCGCAGACTGCACAGTTGCCTCTGTAAATGGTAGAGAGGTCTCTTCCTGCTGGCTTGACTGGCGTTATCCACTCTAGCTATGCAATACTGGACCTAAGATATCTAAAGCTACCTGCCATCTCCCTGCCTTCCTACTGTTTCTTTCACAATGGTTAGTCTGCTGAGAAAATATTTACTTTGCATTTGAGAAAAGGTCACTGACTGGTGGTGTAAACCACTCTGCTCTGAGACAACAGGAATGGGAGTCAGATCCTAAAAGAGAAAATCAGCCTGGAGTCTTTTTCCTCCTCCCCTGCTGCCTCCCACATCCCATTCAGATGGCATGAAAAGGCTCTCAGTGGCTCCAAACCCAAAGAAAGGAGGACATATTTCATGTTCCTCATGAAATCTACCTCCATCGGTCCCTTGTTCAGCTCTCAGCAGGAAGCAGGGCTCGCCCTAAATAGAACCGAGGTGGGTAACAAAACAGGAAGATTCATTTCCTGTAGCATCAGGGGGCTGGCAGGAGCAGTTCCCTGTCCTCTGCGTGCTTTCTGAGGACAGTCCTCCAAAGAGGTACAAGCAAACACAGCTGGAGTAGGGGCCAATTGCACTTTACTGACCTTGCCTTTGAAATACACTTTGTTAGGTGTGCTCCTTATACCCAGCTGCAGGAGCAGTGACACAAGAGCACATCAGCTGCATCACGCTGCCGCAGCGGAGCAGGAGATGCAGGATATGAAATGCTTTTGGTAGCGTTAACACTGGGTCAAAGGAAGCAATGCACTCCCCTGTGCACAACAGTGTTTTATGTCAATTTCAAGTTCACTTTCTACCAGCAACTTGGTGGTTCCTATGCGGTTTCATGTACACAAAGAACAAAAGGGCATAAACGCTATAATTTCAATGAAAAAAAAATCTCCCACTTAAATTCAAGGAACAATAAAGTTAATAAACTATGTAATTACAATCCCGGAGTACACATCTGTCTGTGCAAAATACCCCCTAGTATTGTGAGCAGCCACACAGAAAATCTATATCCTGCCAGGGCAACTGCCTGAGTAACATCAAGCCAAATTCAAAGGCCATTAAACAGAATGTGAGCCTGGCTGCTGGTTTCAGTAGCTTTGGACCAAACCACTTCAGCACATGAATAGTTTCACCATTCCTTTGCTTGCATAGGGATATATCTGTCCACTCAGAGCAGCAACAGCTGTTTAACATGGAGCAGTGGTTGGAAAGAGCAAACATATTAGGGAGGAGGGTGACTGAGGGAGGAAAAGAATATATGCATGGGGAAAGGAACAGGGGGAGAAAAGGGGGAATTTTAACAAGGATGAAGATCTCTGGTGTATAGATCCCTATCTAGATTTAAATGACTTAGCTCCCAGGCTGTAATAGCACAGCTGCAGCAGCACAGCTTCAGTGCGTGCAGTTCTTCCTGCCCCAGATCCTAAAGATGAGGTTTCGCAAGATGGTTGGTTAGAACGAAGACCTCATTTCATTTCACCTCCCATCCTGTCCCCTGCTCCTCGCAGCAGTGCCTCACCCTTCCCCTGAGCCAGCTGCAACATCAGCCTGATCCCCTGGGGATCTGCTTCATCTCAAAAAGACAGCAGCAAATAAGCTATCAGGGAAAGAAAGAGTTGTAGTTTTTGGCTGAGTGTGAGAAAAGCCGATTCACATGGATGAAGGTGAGTAAACAAGTTGGTTGTTCTTTGCAAGGTAACGCAGAGTTCTGCAGAAAGAACCAAACTTCATTCATTCACCTCCAGAATCATCCACACTCCCAGCTGCTCAATGAGGGCTTTGCACGCAGACTCAAGGAAGGGATACTACAGATAACAAGAATCTGCTCAGGAGAACATCATGCACTGACTTCAAACACGAACAAAAAGCAAATTGTGACTGTGCCAGGACTTCCAATTACTTGAACGCCTTCATGGTCACCAAACATGGTATTTCAGGCAGGTAATATTCCCTGCTCAGTGCTCAAGTCAGTCCCTCTCTCCTTCCAAGAGGCTCACAGTCTCTAATGGTTATTTCTTTCTATAGAGCACTTACCAGAAACTCGGAAAGACTGCACCACTGCCTTGCAAGGGTTCCAGCTCTGTTGTCCATGAGGAGGATGGGAAGGTGGGCTGGCTCCTTGTGCAGTCACTTTATCCAGGGGCCTGCAAGACAAAAAGGTCAGGAAATATAGAGGAAGGACAAGGGGAGAAGTTGCCAGAATTAAAAGATTAAAGAAACAGAGTTGCCACTACAAGCATTTGTTGCAAGGTAGAGCCCCTATAGAGAGCGGCCCCTGTACAACAAGAGCACATGGGATAAAGGCAGGCAAGTACTTGGCCCTTGCTTTGCTTCAGTTCCCTAATCCAGCACAAATGCATTTGAGGATTTATGGGTTTTTGGAAGCTTCCAGCAAAGCTTAGGGCCTGTTCCTTGGGTTATTGTTTTCCCATCTGTTTCTCTTCATTTTATTCCATCACAGAGGCCCCATCGTGGGACACAAGAATGTGACCGGAACAATAGGCAGAACTTGCTGCCTCCAGGACTGCAGTGAGGGCAGAGCCACCATCGCAGGATGGGAGCCAGAGGCTTCTATATTTAGCCCTTTCTTGTTTATTCCAGATCACATTCGCACCCTGCACTCAAGAAGTGAGGAGGCTTTCACCACACCACTGTCCCCGAGCACTGCACATCCAGCAGGGCCCCCGAACATAAAACATTCATTTCCCTTCTAATAAATGCCAACAGGAAGACTTCCTGCTTCCCCCTCCCCTTTCCAAATCCCTATTTTGACAGACTTTTTTCTTCATATAAGCAAACTAAACAAAACCATCTCCTCTTCTGCAAGGCTGGCGGCCTTGGAGCAGCACCAGGACTCTGGAGCTGGGACAGCGTGGCACTGCCTGTCGGAACAGGGCCCTGGGAAGAGGCAGAAATGGGTGAGTTTGTTTCCCCCCGTGTTTGAACCCGAGCTAAACTCACCAACCCACAGAGACTTGCCCCAAGCCCACACCCCAACACCTGAGGGCAGGGCAGGTGAAGGAGAACCAGGTCTGAGCAGCCATCCGGCCTCCATCAGTGCCGTAGCATGTGCATACGCCTCTCAAACACAATGGGTAGGAGACTGCTGAGCAGAAGCTCAGGTCTTATTGCAAAGCCCTCTCCACCATGCCCCAAGGCACCTCTCTACCACTCTGAAGGCAGAGAGGGCTCTTACCCTGCAGGAAGCCAAGCTGACTGTGGCACCAACTGCAGTGCCATTTAGCACTTAACTCATTCGCATCGTCAAGGCAAGGGGATCCCGCAGAGCAAGAGGAAAATCCATCACGTTTCCAGGAACACTTACCTAAGAGCTGTGCTGCCTGAAAATAGTTCAGTGATGGACAAGTCCTCTTTCTGCTTCTTCCACAAGGGCTGTAGACCAGGACCACTCTGCACTTCATCTCCCCAGTTCTAGCAAAGTTCTACCAAAGGCTGCTGGAGTCCCAGTGAGAGGCTTGATCACACAGGTGCCCTCCTGGGCACCTTGCTGCCATCCATGTTACTCCCCCTGTGTACCAACATGTCTCCACACCCTGCCTTTTCTCCTGTAGGCATTTCCATCACTGCCAGTTCCCCATTCCTTCTGAAAGACCTCCCACTGTAAGTGGCTGTATCAAGGAGAAAAGGCTGATGCTGGATGGGATGTAAGAATATTATTTTTTCCCCTTGTAAGTATGTCTGTCCACAAAAAATGAGCGGTATCTAGCTGTGTCCAAGCATGGCTAGAGAAATTACACCTTCTGGTGGTATCACAAACCATGCCACTAATTTGCTTTGCGGCCTCAAACTTGTTTCAGGTTAAATTTTCCTCCCTGAGGTATTTGCTTCCAAGGCTTGCTCTGAGGTAGGGGTGTCTGATGATTGTTTGGAGAGGCCTGGAGAGAAGAAGCATAGTTACGAGGCTGAGCAGATTGTCCTCCTGCAGCTTGGGATCAGCCCTGTTCCTCTTGTGCTCACTGAACACCTTTGCACTGCCAGCACAGACATGTGTTCATCTGCCACACAAATCCCTTCACCTTTACTTCTTTTGTGTCCTGGAGCCTGGCCTCCCTCTGCTCGTGCCGAGGAGGCAGTGCACGGTCAGTTCTCTGAACAACGAGCACATGCCAGCAAGCTGTAAAGGAGCCCTGTGTGTACAGCGAGTCTGAAAGGAGGGGAACACTTTCCATCTGGCATTCCCGCAGGTCTTGAGACAGCAGTTATTTATCCAAGGTAGAGGAGAGAAGGGTGCTGAAGTTTCCAGTGGAAGAAGCTGACAGAGAAGCAATAGCCATGCTCGGGGCATTGCTTGGCCAGCAAAGCGCTGAAAAAAAAAAAAGAAGAAATCATGCTGCTCCATCTTGCAGCCAAATTTTCCCTTATATCTCCCCCTTCCTTCCCAGATGTGCCTCCCCAGAGCAGATGAGATGAAGCTCAGACTCTTTGGAAGCTTTAGCTTCCACAAAGGCTTTGAGTTACTATCATCTCAAAAACAGGGCTCAGGCTTAGGCTGAGGGCAACAGCACTGACACCAAACACAAGAGGATGCTGCCATGGAAAGAACTGATCCAGCCAAGGAGAGATGGGGGAAAGCCTGAAGCACACAGAGGGGTATCCACCACATTAACACCATATTGTGCAGTGTTACCAAGGAACTGAATCCCATCTTGTGATTACAGACCTCTGGGGCAAACAGCCCTGATGCATCTTAGATTATCCTCTTGGTCCTCATGTGAGCCATGGATTTGTAACAGCTAGAGCAGGAGTGGCAACTATGGCAACCCTAGTGAATGCATGGGGTCCACATATAACCTTCCTTTTGACTTGCCAACCTCAATTCCAATAGGTACTCTGGAAAAAGCCCACTGGGTGTTACAGGAAGTGTTTCTAAGACTAGGCTATGCAAGGAAAAAAGCAGACACAATGTGTCTCCTCAAACTGTCTCCATACAGGAACCTCCAGCAGGCTTCATGACTCTATGTATTACCTTTGGTTGCAGCTGAAGCCATCCCAGCAAGGAAGAGAGTGAGAGAGATACACCAGTGGTCTCCTCAGCACCCCTTGTACGTGTACCAAAAGGTCCAATTTCCTCTGTCCTCTTCACCAAAAGAAAGGAAAGCTTATCCCCCACTCTGGCATTGCCAAGCCTGCTGTTCTTCTCCCCGCCCTTCACCCCCAAAGGATGCAAACCCTGTATCCCTGTTTTCTTTCAAGCTAGCTGGGGTGGCAGCTGTCAGAGACACTAACTTTTGGTAAGTCGTGCTTCAGCATTAGCCAAATTCACCTGCAGGACACAAGCACTAACACTAATTCTAATGTTATCCCTCGCCATTGTTACTGCAGCTGATTAACAAATGGCCGCGTCAGTTACCTGCAACACATCCCTTTAAAAGACACAGACATCCCAGAAGAGTTGTTCCCCAGATCAGTTTCCACCCATCAGTCCCATGGCATGCGAGGCAATACTTTTGTATTGACACAGCATTTCCTCTACCTGCAGCCAAAAGGCTTTCAAGATACCAGCCCTTGAGAATCACAGTGTACAGGCAGAGACACACACCAGGAAGGACTTCCCAGGACACAATGTGAAAGCCCTGTGAGCACAGGCAGCATCATTTCATAACCAACCCTCTTCCAAAACCAGTAAAACTCTCTCCACCAAGCAATTTGATCTCATTCTGCCCCTACAGGAAGACGTTCCATGTCTTAGTACTGCAGTAAATGTGAAACACCTTTGATTTCAAACACAGATTACTATCAGGTCCTCATCAGTCGTATACCACCCTCACCTTCTAATTCTCAGAACTCTTCCTCTCTCCTCATCCAATCTTCCTTCCATCCATTTAGAAGAAAAGGGAGTAAAAAAGTTCTTCTCCTAGAAGTCAAATCTAGTTTATCTCCCTGCAGATACAGAGCATACACATCCTTTCAGGGAGCAATAGAAAAATTATCACCATTTCTGGACCCCAAGGGGAGGCTCTGGGTTCCCTAACCCTGCTGTTCCACCACCATCAGCCACTAGACCCTGAGGAAATGGTTTATTTCCCACAAGCGTAGCCGGGCAGCAAGGCCTGGTGACACAGCCACTTTCCAACTGGGTGGAAGGCACAAGATGATAAAGACAAGGTATGCAGCAGGGAAGGAGGTGGCAGCAGGCTTAACAGAGCCTTGCTGAGCACGAACAGAGAATAACAAGCAAATGCATAATACCAGAAGCTTTGACTGAGTAAGGATTATAACTTTACAGATAAGTGCAATCAATGCATATGCACAAACATTTGCGGTCAACAGTGCAATTTCATCCCTAGCTGAATGATCCACTGGGTACACATGTTCAAATGTGCACAACACCATTACTGCACAACTAAAAATCCTTTCCCATAAAGCCACACAGACTCCCTTGGGCAGAGGCCAAACAGTTAAATAAAAAAAAGTCTATCCAGAGTGAGAACTCTTCAGAGACATTTCACCATCTGGAAAGAGGAGGGGGTCTTACTCTGAGAACGCTTGGAGAGCCCGACCTACCGCGGTTAAACACGTGCCTCGTCCCATGTTAATTCCTGGGAAGAGCATCATATCATTCCCACCGCCTCATGCAGCAGGACCTGCAGCAAGCAAATGGGCCTGATTCTGCTCCGCTCTCCAGACAAGAGCATACAGCCAGAGCCCAAGAGAGGATGGCAGCTGGCCATTCAGCATTTGCTTTTTAGTGAGGCCAGACTCGCAGTATTGTTGGTGACAAACAAAAGCCATTGCTGTTAGTGTGCGCTTCTTCATTTCCTTTTATTATATTCCCACCCATGTCATGTAAATAAAGCTGCAGTTAGTTTCCTTCAAAGTACTGGGCCAGTGGAGATTGCACTGTGCTTCAGGAGAGAGCACATCCACAGTCAAGGTGAGGGCACTACCTCCTTCCACCATTCCCTAAGACACCAGGCACTCCCAACAAACAGGAACAAGTCCTTCGAGCAAAATGAGATCACAGGACCCTGCTCTCAAAAGCCTTTGATATGCAAGCTGGACTAGGACAGCAGTGGTCAGAAGAAATTAAGTATGATATAGGACTTACATAGATTTAGATGATCTATGATTCTATGACTTGGCTCCATTCACAGATCTGTCCCAGGAGGCTGTGTCCTGATGAAGAGTAGAATTTTAAATGGCCATATAAAATCTCTGTATTTCATAGTCAAATGAGGCCAGTCTCCTGGTGGGCTTCCAAGAGTTCGGTTAGGCAAAGGAACCACCCATATGTTTGCAATCACAAACAAATGACCTTGGAAAGATATGGCCCCAGAAAAATAAACACATCCAGTAGGTGCTCTCATCTATTCCCTTTCTGCTGAGGGACACAGGCAACACAGAGGAGCAGAGAAAGTCTGATTTGGCTGAACTCAACCTGTATCAGGGCTCTGATACCTGCTCTTTTACTCAAGGCTGGCCCAAGCAAGTCCTGGTACCCCCACCTCTCTCTTGTGGTGGCAAATCAGAAAGAGAAACACCTCTCTAGAGGTGAGAGAAGAGGCCAAAACTCACTGCCTTAAAGCTCAGAGAGCATCATCAGTGTGCTCAGTCTCTTAAGAGAGGGGCCACACAGGCAGCTCAGTCTTAAGAGGCACCAACCCATTGGAAGGTCCCAGGGAAGAGGAAGGACAACAGGGCACAATTCTCATGCCTGTAGGACAGCACACAGCTAGACATAGGCAGCCAACGGACCAAGCATTATCCAGCATGAACAAAAAAAAAGCTCTTTCCAGCCTCTGCCTCACAGCTGCTTATTTGTATTCCAAGACTTTGACCCTGACAACACTTCTGGCTGAGGGAGATGGGGCCCATCATTTCATTTGCTCCCTCCCATCACTCTCCTGTTCCAACATCCTTAGCCCACCCACTCCCACTTGCTATAAAGCTGACTGCTTCCTTCACAGGATCACCTCTCTGCAAAAGAAAGAGCCTCTCATCCAGACACTGAGTATCCTGGATGTCATCTGACCAGGAGACAGGGAAGGAGCAGAAAGGTCTTCCTCCAGAACACAGAGATGGAATTGGCTGAAGCAGCTCCAATCAATTGGGCTGCAGTATCTGAGATGGTATTTTGATTCCAGTCCTACAGCAAGGGACAGCACAAGGCCAGGCGAGGGCAGATTACATGATCCCTCAAAGCCGCCTTTCACTACAGCACAACACGTCCTCTGTGTTATTAGAGGGCTTTTTCAGACTGAATGAAATAACACTCTACAGCTCTTGATTTCTACCTCAGGGCAGCAACAGCATCTCTCCTGCCCACCTTTCTCCAGGGAGGAGATTATATATCAGAGATGAATCGAAATGCAGTCAATCAGGCAAGGCAATCTGCCAAAGTAGCAAGAAGGAAGGGAGGGAGGGAGGGAGGGAGAGAAGGTACCTTGGTACTGAAGTGACCTGTTCAAATGCTGCTGATGAATGCTGACCTGCTGGATCTCTCCACGGCTCCAAGAGACAGAGGAAGAGGACACAGAGGTGGGAACCTTCCTCCTACCCTGGAGGATGGAGACAAACACGTGTTACTTCTCAAGCACCAGCTGCACTCAAGGAAAGGGGCAAACTCAGCTGGAAGAGCTGAAGACACAGTACAAGTCCAGCCTGGTTCTGGGAACTCAGATCTAGCAATCATCTAGAGAGGAGAACGAGACTCCAATGGGTGCACCATTTCAGGAACTAAGGAAAATACACCCAAGAGAGTACACAGCTCCAAGGGCCTTTGGGCAGTCCCAGCCCACGAGACCCTCTCAGACCACCTTGTAGAGGTGCAAAGATCAAGCCTCCAGACCCCTCCAGGCCTTGATGGGTGTCTGCACACAGGGCATTTCTACTTCCTAACAGCTTTAACATAGCTGGAGTCAGATCCTTGGGACACAAAAGCACAAGCTGCTGAGGTTGGAAGCAAGAGAGGCTGTTTTAGTGCCTCTCTGTATTTTAGTCACGTTAGGCCAAAGACAGCTGGAGTCTGGGAACGATTCACATTGTGCTACTATATCAGAGTCCTGCTGCTCTGAACCAGAGCTCTGCTGTGCTACAGTGCTTTGCACAGACACACAGAGAAGGCTTTCCTCTCCTACCAGCGTCTGCCTGCGCTTGTCAGTTGGGTAACCTGCAAGCCACAGCATCCACACTGCAAAGAGAAACTGCCAATGCTCAAAGAACAGGCTGATTTTAGAAATTACTGCAATGTCTTTTCAGGGGTGCCTTAAACTCTAACCACCTCAGAAACCCTGTGCCAACAGGGTGCGAGACCAGAGAGCACAGGTAAAGGCTCTCAGAAATGGGC